AACTACAACTTTTGCCTCAATAAACTGCTAATTTGCTGCTTATTAATAGTTAGTACGGTAGTTGTTAAGTTTAGGTATTGGGTAGGATTAGGGATGTAGAATATGCTCATGCAGAATATGTGCTTTATAAGTACTAATAAACAGCCAATATGTTAATAATAGGCATGCTAATAAGCAACTAGTTAATAGTGAGATTTGGTCCCTATATTAAAGTGTTACCGTAAAAAAATAATGTACATATCCACTATCAAAATCCAAGAGTGACAAAGAAACAAAATGTTCAAGTATTAAAGTTATTATGAAGAACGATGGTGATTTATCATTTTTCTCCCCATCATTTTCTTTAAATATAGACAACAAACATTAACGCTCAACTTACTTTGGAAGTCGGTCAAGCAGTGTCTTCAGTTCCTCGCATATTAGTTTGACAAGTCCACTTTTTATGTTGTTGTAGGAGACATCGATCATGAAGATGTAGGCAGGAGGATTTGGAGGCTTATTATTCTTAAAGACAAAAAAGAACATCACAGAATGAATTATGGTAGTTCACGAACTTCAAAGTGGGCTCTTTTTGCTTATTCTTCACAGACTTTGTACACATATCTTGTGGCAGAGAAGTTTGCAATCATGTGAAAGCATATCATATGCACAAGAAAACTTTTTTATCTTGTTATATATAGAAATGCCAAGATGAACATATTACGGTCTCTCAAAACACAACAGTGGGCAATAGGATTACGATAAAGACTCCTTGTTTTTACTCCCAATGAACAGTGTGCAGTAGGGATCAACTGTGATGATTTTATTAAGCACTGCAGGAGTTGATCCTCAAATATTAATAAACATCTGAGAGAAACAGGAGCCCAGATAGAAGATTATGGTGTCAGGCTGAGATGAGGAACCCAGGCACGGACTGGGGCCAAAAATGTGCCATGAACCTCTTTAGTCCGATAACTGAATTGAAATTAAGTTAATTTGAGATTACAGCCTACTTTGGACCCTGGTCCATGAGAATGTAATACACAAAGCATCAAAAGTTTCAAAAAAAAAGTATTCACCCCCTGGCTTTTAAAGGAATAGTTCACCCAAAAATGAAAATTTGTTTGTTTGAGTTTGTTTCTTCATCAGATTTGGAGAAATGTAGCATTACATCACTTGCTCAGCTATGGATCCTCTGCAGTGAATGGGTGCCGTCAGAATGAGAGTCCAAACAGCTGATAAAAACATCACAATAATCCACACCACTCCAGTCCATCAGTTAACATCTTGTGAAGTGAAAAGCTGCATGTTTATAAGAAACAAACACATCATTAAGATGTTTTTAACTTCAAACCATTGCTTACGGCTAAAATATGAATTCATAATCCCTAATAACGCTTCCTCCATTGAAAAAGTCCAACCCCTGTTGCCTTCTCACATCAAAATACACCCATATATCTGTTTAGAGCTGTTTTGGACTGTTTTGGCTTATAAATGGTGTTTGAGCTGTGCATATTTCTCTCCTGACTCAGACAAGTTGACTTTTTCACTGGAGAAAGCAATATTGTGAAATGAGGACTCGTATTTTAGCTGGAAGCAATGATTTGTAGTTAAAAACATCTCAATGATGGCTTTACTTCTTACAAATAAGCAGTTTTTCACTTCATAAGATGTTTAATGATTGGATTACTTGTGGATTATTGTGTTGTTATTATCAGCTTTTTGGACTCTCATTCTGACGGCACCCATTCACTGCAGAGGATCCATTGGTGAGCAAGTGTAGTAAGGCTAAATTTCTCCAAATCTGTTCAAATGAAGAAACAAATTCATATACATCTCGGATGGCCTGAGGAGGAGTACATTTTCATTTTTGGGTGAACTATTCCTTTAAATGTACCATGTGGCCTTCTTGAGCATCAGCAAATGTTTGCTGCTTCAGTAATAGCGGTGTATGAGTTCCACAATTGTCCACCGTGTGGAAACACGGATCTCAAAAATCACATATCCACTTCTGGAAAGAGGTCCAATATGCAAAAGATGCTGGAAAACCAAAGAATGTGCAGGACTAGGGCTGCACGATAAATCGCATGCGATATTTAACGCGCATTGTTCACTGACGAGTTGCGCAAAACCACGTTCATATTCGCGCGATTTTTTGCGCAGCTCGTCAGTGAACAACGGCTCTGTGTAGTTAATGCTGCTCCATGTGAAAGCCCGCAGGTGATGGAGATTTACCACTGATTACAGAACCGGCTTTCTGACAAGATGCGAGTTAAATATCACATGCGATTTATCGTGCAGCCCTATGCAGGACCGTAAAGACTTTTATAAAAGACCTATGAGCAATTGAACTGCTTAGAACAAACAAAGGACTCGTGAACAACTATCACAACACAAGTTGTAGATCATCCAGATAATGACAAATGCATATGCAAACTTTTGAACTAGCTCATTTTGGTAAATTCAGCTATTATTTTGTTTTGTGAAATAGCTTTTTCAGGGCAGTGTTAATGCAAAACAAAATGCATTTTTTAACATTTTGCAGATTCTGCAAACTTTTGACTTATAAAAAAAATATAAATATAAAAGTATTAGTATTAAGTATAAAATGTTTCATTCCGATTTCAAAATATACATTCAATGCTTTTAAAAAAAAAGAAAAAGAAAGTAAACTTTCAGCTGACCTGCTTGCAGAACAGCATAAAAATGTCACTGAATTAAAACTTGCCCCTGTGTAATCAAATAAAGAGCCTTTTTTTTTTTTACTCTGAGCATAAATTGTTTTCCTCATTTTAAACATATCATATATTTATTTTCAAGATTTAATTGTATATGCCCGATTAAAAATATGCAATGTGACTGCCAAGCAAGAAACCTTTCTGAGCTGCTTCCTGGGGCAAGTTAACCCTGTTTAAACAAATCACACAGTCTAATAATCCACACACTCTCTTACCATTACATTACTACAGGGAATTTTTGTTAGCGAAGGACTTTATTTTAGATCAATCAAATACAATCTATTAATATTAAACCTTACTAATGTAATCAAATCCAACTGTGAACATTGTACACTTATATAAAAACGTCTCTGTTACCTTGCAGTAATCCAGTGTGGCAATGAACTCATATGAGCCCAAAGACAGTTCTGGTCTCTCATACAGATCCATTCTTCTCCCCATATGGTCCAAATGCTGGAAATACTGCACTGGAACTGGAAAGGTAGTGAAAAACCATTTTTAGAAACCCTTTTTTTAGCTACGACTGCACAGACAAATAACCCCTACCATATGTTGACAGGAAACACAGCGTAAGAATTAAGGTCCCAGCAGTCTCAATGGTACAGTACTAACCTTCATTAACGCAGCTGCAGAAGCCACACTGGTAGCGTCGTCCTCCATCGATAAACTGCATGTAAGGACACATGTAGGCCTTGCAGCGGTTGCAGCGGATTGGTCCAGTCTCACCGTGATTTACAATGTACAGAGGAGTCTATAGAGATCAGAGCGAGAAGGAAAAATAAGACCTACATACAGCCTTACCATCTTTACTGTAACACATACCATGAGGTTTCTATATGCTTATATATAGTTGAACATACACTACTCTTCAAAATATTTTTTTATTTATACTTATTCAGTAAGGATGCATTCAATTGATCAAAATCGATAGAGAATTTATGATGTTACAAAAGATTTATATTTCAATTAAAGGCTGTTTTGAACTTTTTATTTATCAAAGTATTCTGAAAAAAATTTATTATGGTTTCCACAAAAATATGAAGCAGCAAATCAGCATATTAGAATGATTTCTGAAGGATCATGTGACTCTGAAGACTGGAGTAATGATGCTGAAAATTCAGCTTTGTATCACAGAAATAAATTACATTTTGAAATATATTCAGATAGAAAACAGTTCTTTTAAAATATTATATTTCACAATATTACTGTTTTTACTGTGAATGCAGCCTTAGTGAAAAGAAGAGACTTATTTAAAAAAAACCTTTTCAAAATCTTAATTATTAATGAAAATTCAGTTTTGCATCACAGGAATAAATTCTATTTTTAAATATATTAGAATAGAATACAGTTATTTTACATTTTAATAATATTTCACAATATTTTACTGTATTTTGAATCAAATAAATGCAGCCTTGGTGAGCACAAGAGACTTTTTTCAAAAACATTTAGACGCCACATTTTCGAATGGCAGTGTATACAACTGTTCATTTAAATAAATAAAAATCACATTTAACATTTCAGAGAGAAAAAAATAGTTATCTTCATTAAGTGAAGGCAAACAAATCATACTGATCTGTAGCTATGTGGTTATTGTGCAGTTCAACATGTTTACAAAGATACAATATAAAGTACATAGATATTAAAATTGAAAAAAAAGCTTAAGAAGAGATCACTGAGTTTCAATTACATTTAAAGTTTTCAGTCAGCTTCTAAATTCTTGCAGAACAATATTTAATTGTTGCTGTGTCATTTTAATAAGGTGGCATCGCAAAATCTGAGCTATCAGAGACGATGCGCGGTAACATTTTCACTACTAACTAAGAGCATTTCCTCAATAAACTCCTAATTTGCTGCTTATTAATAGTTCGTAAGGTAGTTGTTACGTTTAGATATGGGGTGGATCAGGGCTCTAAAACATGGTCATGCAGAATAAGGCATAAACATGTGCTTTATAAGTAAACAGCCAATATGCTAGTAATAAGCATGCTAATAATCTACTAGTTAATAGTGAGTAGTGTTCCCTAATCTAAAGTGTTACCCAATGAGCTTTTATTAAGGTGAAAGGGATTATGAATGAATTTATTGACTTTGGCTCATAGATGCTGCAATATGGAGTCACATAGCTCAAAATCAAAACTGACTGCAGTGTTTTGTGCCTTAAAATGTGGTCTAATTTCCTGCTTAATTTGAGAGTACAATAAACTACTCCTCTGACATGTCCCTTGGAGACTGAACTTAAACTAATTAGCCTCTCATGAGAATACTAACATTTCCTAAAAAGGCACTGAAGCATAACGATGAAGGGTAAAGCGATGAGAGACTCCAGAGTTAAACAAGTCTTCAAAACCACTATTAAACTACTGACACAATAAACTAAGGGGACACCCATGAATTAGGTTTTAAACATATTCCATAGGCAGTATTTTCCAGAGATAACACAATGGACGGCAACAACCAAAAGTTCATTCATTCAGCCTCATGTTGTTTCAAACCTGATTTTCATTCTATACAACACAAAAGGAAAAGTTTAGCAGAATGTACACGCTGCTCTTTTACATATAATGACCAGGGGCTGTCAAGCTCCAAAAAGAACAAAAAGCACCTCTCTCATCTGCTACAGCTCTCAAATCTCAGATGATACTATATGAATATGTAAATATTCAAATTACACAAAAAAGATGAGTGTTTCGGCAGAGAAACTAAACTATGGTATGACTTCAGAAGTTTGGGAATACAGTGCACAAGACATATGGAATAATGTAACGGTACTTTTATTGTGTTTTTCTGTCTTTTTTATTTTTGGAGACTGAAAGCCCCTGGTCACATTCCCTTTTTTTTGGAAAAGAGCACCCCAAAAATCCTTCCTATAGACTCCGTTTGTGTATCACAGAAGGAAAATCATATGGTTTGAAGTGAACTATCAATTTCTATGCTTTAATGACTAGAATAACCCTTGTGAAAAAGTAGTACACTTGTAGTGTACTTCAAATCTTAAAAGTATGTTTTAAAAACTAAAATAAAAGGCCACTTAAGTGAGCTTAAAGAGAGTACAAATGACTGTATCTTAAAACACTTAAGTACTTTTTTTTTTTAAAGTGCACTTTGTAATAATGTCATGTTAAAAGTTATATGTTAAAATACATTTTAAATCATTAGGTTTTAATATGCTTTTGTCATGCTTTAAAAAGGTACACTTATTTTGATGCAATGACTAACATAATAAAGCACATGTAAAGCACTTGATTATAATTGTATCCATAGTATGTTATTTGATATTACATTTCTACTTAAGTGAGTCAAAAAAAAGCACTCTAATTCAACTAATTGCAATTAATATAAATGTAAACTACTGTATAATACATTTTCATTTAAGAACAATTAATATGCAAAAACATTACATCCAGTTTGCACTTTAGAATATTACATTAAAGTATATGATATTCATATTAATTACTCTTTTTAAAAATAAACTAAAGTGTACTTCTTGTACTTTCACAAGGAAACATATGTACAGTTTTACAGCACTACACATTATGTACTTCCCCAAGCCATGGTTTTGTACATTTTAATCAGAAATAAAACGTACTAAACATTACCACATTTAAAAGTCACTTAGTTGTAGCATTCCTCATTTGTAAATCATGTATGCTAAATGTCCAAATGTAAAAATAAATCTAGTGCATAAACTCAAAACTGAAGAACTGCAAAAATCAGAATGCTGAGAAAATGCTGCATACCTCATTTTTGGGCACGGTGGCGAAGGGTTTGATGATGGCTGCCAGAGGCACTTTGCACTGCTTTGCAAGGTCAGCAGTGCTGGGGAAGGAATATGTTGTGCACCGCATGAACCTAGGGCTGGCATTCCCTTAAAATGACAGAAGAAAGGTTAATATGTTAAACAAAACCACTTTTATGCTATTAGGAGAGAAGTGCAAAGACAGCTGCCATGCTCACCTTGATCCTGCACTGTGAAATCTGTGGTGACCAGTGGAGGCACCTGACCTCTGATGTTTGTGACATACACCTGGCCTCCTCTCTTAGCCTGGTCATCCTCAATCACTTGCGTCTGCAACAGACAGTGTACCTTGAAATGTGCACAAATTTAAACACTTTTACATTATAAAGTAGCACTTTTGTCTGTTATTACCGTGCTTGGAATAGAGTCTGGGTCCAGCTTCTTCTGAGGAGGGCCTGCCATTTGTGCTGGACCTCCAGGAAAGCCTCCTGGGAAAGCGCCGGACTGTGGCCCTGCCATTTGTGCACCATACGGGCCTGAAATCGGGCTACCTTCAGATCAGAAGCAAAAAGAGTTATTTAAGTTAGTCAACATTTGCCTCTAAAAATACTGAGTAGAGGTGAGGTGTGTCATTTCTGCACCACAAACGCAAATGAAAAAATGAAGACAGATAGTCCCGAACCAAACTCACACAACTGATTGAACTAATGTTGCTGTCTCATAAAACAGTGGCTACCCAGTAACATTTTTAAGTCTCATGAAGGTGGATTGTTTTTTACAAGGACTTAACACAGAGGTTTAACACATACACTACCAGTCAAAAGTTTGGAATAATTCAGATTTTTTTATGTTTTTGAAAGTAGTATCTTATGCTCACCAAGGCTGCATTTATGTCATTTAGAAATACAGTAAAAACAGTAATATTGTGATATATCATTACAGTTTAAAAGAACTGTTTTCTATTTGAATACATTTTCAAATGTAATTTATTCCTGTGATTAAAGCTGAATTTTCAGCATCATTTCTCCAGTTTTCAGTGTCACATGATCCTTCAGAAATCATAATAATATGCTGATTTGCTGCTCAGAAAACATTTATTATTAATACTGTTGAAAATAGTTTTCGCAGCTTAATACTTTTGTGTAAACCACGATTCACTACCATTCAAAAGTTTGAGGTAAGATTCAGCAAAGACACATTAAATTGATCAAAAGGCATTTATAATGTTACAGAAGATTTCAATTTCAAATAAATGCTGTTCTTTTGAACTTTTTGGATGTTGAAAAAAAATATATAGCACATTTTCCACAAAAATGTCATGCAGCACAACTGTGCGCGCCATTGATAATAATCAGAAATGTTTCTTGAGCAGCAAATCAGCATAATTGAATGATTTCTGAAGGATCATGTGACACTGAAGACTGGAGTAATGATGCTGAAAATTCAGCTTTGCATCACAGAAATAAATTACATTTTACAATACATTCAAATAGAAAACAGTTCTTTTAAGCTGTAATAATATTTCACAATATTACTGTTTTTAATGTATTGGTGAGCAGAAGAGACTTCCAAAAAAAACTTTTCAAATTTTCACCTTTTCTTAATTATTCTAAAGTGTAAAAGGTTGTCAAACGTAAAAGTATTTTAACAAATGTGACACAATTCAACCTTAAAGGAGACATATTATGCCCCTTTTTACAATATGTAATATAAGTCTCTGGTGTCCCCAGAATGTGTCTGTGAAGTTTCAGCTCAAAATACTCCACAGATAATTTATTATAACATTTTGAAAATGCCTATTTTGAGTGGAAGCAGAAAAACGCTGTTTTTCGGGCCTGTGTCTTCGCCCCCTTTTCCAGAATAGAGCCGCGCCGTTACAGCTCGTACCTGCTAAAAACATCTGTTTTGGTTCAGATTATCATGTTTATCGTGCTGAAATCATGCGTTTTAAACCATATGAGTTTAAACTTCTGATATACGGTTTTCTGAG